CTTAATTCTAATTTGAACAGTTTCAGCCATAACTGATACCCATCATATAAAATTTGGTTTAACAAACACAATTAAGGCTGGACACTTGCAAATTAAGCTACAAATGTTAAATCGAAGTACTTATTTATTTATAAATATATATAGTTGGTTTTTTTTGTTTTTGTTTCTTTTACTATTTATATTCACAAAGATAAAGAAGGGAGAAGGAGTGAGAGAGGGAAGGGATGAAAGGGGGAAAAGTAAAAAGATAAGATTAAATAAATAAAAATAAATAAAAATACTAAGCTTATTAACCCCTTAAGGACTGAGCCAAATGTACATGTTTTGATCAAAATAAAACATTAACAAAACTTGGAATTTGACTATATGTCTGTTCAACCGTAACTCACCTCTTTTATATTAAGTGCACCCACACTTATCTACAATTTTTTTCAGGAGAAATAGGGCTTTCATTTAACATAAAATATTTAGCTATAAAACGTAATTTAATATGAATAAAATATAAAAAAAATTAGAAATTAAGAAATTTTATTTCTTTAGTTCTGCACAACATTTTAACTGTGAACGTCATAATACTGTTTGCTTTTACGGCAATAAAATACATATATTTGTATTCGTCGATGTCTCATGTGTAAAACAGTACCCCCTATGTACAGGTTTTACGGTGTTTTGGGAAGTTACAGTGTCAAATATAGCATGTTACATTTTTCAGTTTTTTCACATTGAAATTCGACAGATTAGTTACATTGCCTTTGAGACCGTATGGTAGCCCAGGAATGAGAATTATCCCCATGATGGCATACCATTTGCAATAGAAGACAACCCAAGGTATTGCAAATGGGGTATGTTCAGTCTTTTTTAATAGCCATTTAGTCGCAAACACTGGCCAAAGTTAGCGTTAATAGTTGTTTGTGTGTGAAAAATGCAAAAAACTAATTTGAATGCCAATTTTGGCCCAAGAGGTTTCCATGTAGATTTCGAGCTCAATGCCTTTTTACAAAATATTTTGATGAGCCATAGCCATTTCAACTATTAACTAATTTTTTTTTTATAATTTATTTATTTTTTATTTATCATAAACATATTTTTTTTACATATCCATTTAATTTGTCCCACTATAACTTATACACTTATGTTGTAACTATCTTCATCAATTTCTTCTCCAATATATTTAGGCTAGTTACTTAATGTATATATCCAAATTTTTGTTTACTATGGTACATTCTCTATCTATTTCATTATACCATTTTCACCCACAGACGCAGTTGTAGTTATTACTTTTTTTTTATTTATCCATTTAGCCACTCTGTCTGGCTTTCTGTTATTCTTTTTTTATATATTTATTGCTGTATTTATGCTTGTTATTTTTTTTTCCTATGGTGTAAGATTTAGTCATGGTTTCAAATAACCTATAGACGCAATCTCATTTGACCATTACTTTTAGTCATATAATTATGTTGTCTGCTATTTGCATTTATTACTTTTGACTCCACCATTAACATTTTTTTGTCCTAATATCATTTTTGTTTTGATTTTTTCTTTATCTCTCTTTTTTATTTTTATTTTATTATTTTTTTCTTATTTTTTTCTTATTTTTACTTCTCTAGTTATGTCTTATACTATATTCTCATTTAACACCTATTTTCTATATTGTATTTTTCCACACTGATGCTTCTTATGATATCCACAATTTTAAGATATGTATCTAGAATTATATTTGATACATTGTTATTTGTAACAGCTGGTTCATATGTTTTAAATATGGAATTGGGTATACAAATATCCCCACATATGCTTTGCCAGTTACTTCAAGCCTCTGATGAAGTGAGGCTATTCCCTCACGAAATGCGTAAGGGATCTAGGCATATTGCCGAATAAATTTCAGTGGACGGACGCTACCTAGAACACTCAACATAGCAGTGCACGAGCTGACTTCGAGATACACATGTGAAGACACGAAAGATCTCTCCTCTCCAATATCGGTGGAACAGACCCGGGAGTGAGGCTCTGACTGGAACGCTGTGTGGAACGCACGCTGACCTCACCGGCGGACCACACACAATGAGGATTCCATCTGACATCTATCCCATCCACAAGGAGAATCATATGCACCATATCCTGAGTCTTTGCTTGTACCTCTATGCTATTCTTAAGGATTGATTTATACTATTTGTCTATGGATTATTTTATGATTGATTTTATTACTAATACATTAAAGATGTTTGGATTTTTCTAAGAAGCACTCCTCTCTTTTTCTTATTCAGTCTCTTATTTTTAGCACCCAGTTGATTTTGTGCTGTGTTGCTTTCTCATTTTCCTTACTTTTTGGCTGGTATATTTATTGTTTCCCATGAAATTATATTATTGCCATAGGGGCTCCATAACTGTGTATTCCCATACACGTAACTTAGTGAGCTTAGCCCATGCTACATTCTGTGGACTGATTTATTCTTTTGGACTTATCCTATTTGTGGGACTGTCTGTTTATTAACTATTCTTTAAGTGGACATTTCTTGGACAATACATCTATTATTTGTATTCCATTAGTTATTTTTTTTGGTATATATTTATTGGAGTTGGATCTCATTTTTTATCTACTGCATATTGATTTTTACTTTTGTGTCATATTAGAGCTCCTGGATTCCCCTCATCTTATTTATATAAGTGTGGTTTGTATATCTTTAAAGAGAGAAGTAATAGGATGATAAAACACAGAAAGAAAAATAAGAAATTAAAAGATATATAAACACTTTGCACGATAAGTTTTAAATGTGTTTTCACATAGAATATAATAAGAATGGGATAGAGTGAATTTAGTTAACACTAAATAAAAATACACTAAGTGTAGGGGGGCTGGAAGAGATAGAGAGGAAAGTGTGAAAGATAATACTGATAGAATAAATTAAGATTTTTTTTTTCTCATTAGCTTATTTATATATTTCTCTCTCTCTCTCTCTCTTCCTTGCCTTCAAAACTTTCTTTCTCCTAAACCCCTTCCAAATACCCTCTTATCTCAAAGAATAGGACGTTGTGATATAAAGATTATACACCTACTATTCCAGAAGAAAATTAGGTTATAATATAATACCTATACCTATTAATACTGAGCTAATAGAAAAATTGAAATACAAAAAAAGATTTCTTAGAAAAATTGTTGAGATGATGGAAAAGTATTCCCGAGCAATAGGCTGAGCCTCCTCTGCCACAATCCTGTAAGTCCTAAAGTGTGTACAAAATAGGTACATATCGGATTGTGCTATGACTCTTTTAAGAGTCTCTAGAATTAATGTATTTATGTAATTTATAGTATGTGTACATGATTGTGGTTTCAAATGTGCAATTCTGTTTCATGCAATAGTCAATGAGAGCCCCCTTGTCAGTCCAGGAAAATTAAGGTCCAGTAACATATAAAAATGGTCAGACTGGTCACTATTAAAATACAAGGTTTAAATAAAGAGACGGGCATTCCAAGAATATAAAAAAA